CAATGGGACTTCATTTTCTTGCACTTATCAGATGTCGACTCACATGTGAACTTGTGCTTGTCTCACTAATTTGGTCATCCATTAATTCATTTTCTATTAATCCACCATGCCCCACCAGCCACGCCAGTTCCCATTTGACTTAATATTTTAATAAAAACTTTTAATGATGTTCAAAATATTAAACTAATTATGTTTTATTTATTTATCTAGTAAAAATAATAATGATAAACTAAGTGATAAGGTTTTTTATTATAAAATAACATATAGCTAAGAAACAAAATACATTTTAAGAAGGTTAATATTAAAAATTAAAAATATATACTAATTTGAAATTAAAAAGGTGAACTATACACCCATTAAATCAGTCCTTAATACCATTATTTGAGAACTTAAGGATAAACTTGTTTCAAGAAACAAGATGAAGCTCTTAGCTGATAGAAATCATTGAGAAGAGGTATTTCAGGTTGAAAACTAAGTATACCTTAAACCACAACCATTTATACAACATTATGGTTTTAAACAAGTCCACCAAAAGCTTGCAACCCAGATTGTTGATTGTATTGGTCAACTTGCTTATTGTTTACACAGTTGCTTGAATCTACAAAAAATTCATCTAGGCTTTCATGTGTCCTTGGACTATATAGTTATGTTGCTGGATACTGATTGTCACTTGGAAATCTATTTAAGTTATTAGTGGAGAAATGACCTTTTATATTAGTTAGATCTAATAAAAATAGGGGTAACAATTTTAAAAATAACAGTGTTGCAACTCACATTTTCGAACATACACCTTCAAAGCAAGGGGAAGAAATAATAGAGTAAATAATAGACTTGTAAAAATCAATAAGTAAGATATTAAAATTTAATTATTAAAATAATATTGCTTTGAAATATTTTATCAAAAAAGAGTAGTTTTAGTAATTTCTGGCAGTTTAACATCACCAAGACTTTTATGGCATTTTTTCGGTATTTCCTGGCTGTTAAAAAATCGCTAGAACTTTTATTTTGGGTGTCTTTGACTGCCACAATTTTATTCAACAGTAATACAGCCAAATTTTATGTGTTATACACATTATTAAACTAAAATACATTTTATATACATAATTGAAAGTATATATTATATGATTCTTTTAAAATTTAATAAATTTTTTAAATTTCAAAAAGAGTAATTATTATGTTTATTGATAATAAATGTTGTATTATATTAAATAAAGAGATGATTTTAAATTAAAAATAATATAAAACTCAAAAAAATGTAATATATTAAAAATAAACGTATAATGTAAAAAAATATTACTTGGAGTTGTATGACGTTTGTTTTTAATTTAATATTTATTTAAAATTTGAATTTTTCATAATTTTAAATTGTAAATGATCTCTTTATTTAATTTTATTTAACATAATACAATATTTACTATTTTTAAAATTTATCATATTTCAAAATAATTATATGATATTTCATTTTATGTGTAAAACTATTATTTTCATTTAATTTGTAGCACCTTTAAACTGCCAGGAAAAACATACCCAAATATTATTGATGTAAAATTTAGACATCAAATTTTTTTTTTCTTTTTTCACTGACCCCACAAATTTTCTGAAAAAATATCCCACTTAATTCATAGTGAACTTAAACCGCCAAAAATTATTAAAATTACCCATTTTGATAAAATATTTTAAAATAACCTTTAGTAATTAATTTAAAAAAAACATATTTCAAGAAATGAGCCCACTAAATCCCTCAGCTAAGGTTACATGGCCCAATTAAATAGCTAAATCTCCTATCTTATCTTTACTACCACATTTTATTTGCTTAGTTATCTTGTTCAAGTATTGCATTATCTCTTGCAAATGATAATTTTAGTAAATTTTGGTCATCATTTTGGCCATCTATTAGGATGTGATAGAAAGGTTATAATATATAAATTCAAATGTAATCACTTAAACAACAATATAAGAAACAGTTTAATATACTAATGCTGGTAACGTACGAACTTAATAATTACCTTGACCCTCCAAATGGGTGTAGATATCTTTCAGAGCATTTGTTACTTTAAGATTATATCATAAGATTAATACAATTCGCCCCTAGTCCCTTGTTTCTCACATTTGTTTTGTATAAATAATAGATAAAAATGAGTGAAACTAGCATGAAACATTTTTTTTAATATTAAGCATGTAACAATTAATTTTCGGATTTAACTACTATAATGATATAATTAGTATTCGGGTGGGATTAAGTTTAAGATAAGAGCCATATTCATATCTCTAAACCCACCCTTATCCTACCAATTGCAATTCAGAAAAATCCAACCACGATTTCGCAGCAAGTCAAATCGAAGTTTTTCTTTCAGAATCAAATTTTAAAGGGACGAATTCTCATGGGTATAGAATTTTTGTTAAAGTGATTTTAGGTTGATATACAAAATTCATTAATTGGTTTTTATATAAGATAAGAATGATGCGTATTGCATGAGTTCTTTCCGATTTAAGTAAACATTTTTAAAAAATAAAATATTTAAAAATATAAATGAGATATACTTAATTAATTTCAGAGAAATCTATTAAAACATAAACTTTAAAAAAACAATCTAACAAAAAATAATAAGTATGACATGCACTATTTTTTTTAAAAGAAAGTAAATAAACAGATCAAGACACATTTGAAAGAAATAACTAAAATAATTATTTCTTTTTCTGTTTGAATTAAACATATAGAAAAGAAAACTCGTCCTGATTAAAATTTCTAAATTAAAAATAGATATACGTAATTAAAAAATATTAATCCATTTTGAAAATCAAATCACTGTAAAACAAGTTTAACATTTTTAACACTAATATTTAGAATAAATTTTTTATTCCTACATATCATAAAAATAGTATTTAATGACACCGTTGCACATATTTACCTAAGTATTATAGTAATTTAAAGATGCACAGAGAACAAAAATAGAAAAAGGAAAAAAATTGCCCAGTTTAAATTACTTCCCTGTACAAAAGTGATTTAAGGCAAAACCTAAAAAGAGTAAAGAACACAGTAGTAATTAATTTCTTAAAAATATGAGTTAACAAATGAAAATCAATTTGTTTTATTTAAAAAATGAAAAAACATTTATTCTTATAATATTTAATATATTTTTATAAAAATTATTAATTATTAATATTTTAAACTAGTGTGACACTGATTAATAATCCTAAAAGTAATGATTGAGGGTGAGAAAAGGTATATTGTTGGTTAGTAAGAATGAAAAGCAAGTGAAATTGTTTAATTCAATGAAAATATTATGTGGCTTTCAAGAAAATTGGAAAGAGATACCGTGCGCCGTGGGCACTTGTGCGGTTGATTTTGCTCTAAATATGATGAGAAGCACACACGCATGTCCCTTATTCATCATCTATTCCACTTTCCAATTACCTTTCGTTTCCATTAAGTAACATTTACAACAATTTCACCAAATTCACTCACTTATTAATTAATTCAATTATCATTAATCATCTGTTTAATATTTATTATTACTCTCCTTATTGGGAGAGGAATTCGCATCTAACCCAAATAAAATACATTAATTATATTCTTCCCTCTTTATGTTCATTCATTGCATTTTTTTTATTTCTTTTTTCTTCTTTCTTTTACACCTTTTATTGAAGATTTGGGACACGTATTTGTTGATTGATTTTATTGTTTATCTTATTCACTCATAAAATCAAATCACTCAAGGAAACAAAAAAAAAAGTTTTCATGAATATACCAACTTCAATATTCTAAAAGAATATTTCATTATCGACACTATTATTTCTCATTTGTTCTTGTATATTTGACTAAGTTGGTTTGTTTTGATTCTTAGAAAAACCTCTATGTATGTTTTTATTTCGTGTTAAGTTATTAATTAAATATTTCTCAATCTCAACTCTCCTTCAACTCTAAATAAGAGGATTTTAGCTAAATGTAACAAAACAAATAATAGTGTATACTTGAATCATCGAATAATTGAAAGATCAAACTTAGCTGAATTAATTAGTTGGCAAAATTTGAGCCATAAAGTTCGACTTTTGTTAGCAAAGTAAGCAAGAATTCGTGGTGTATGATGCATTATGCCAAGAGTTTAGAAAAGTAAGAAAGAAATTCGTATTATGGCTTTATAGAATCCACAGCTGCAAAAGTTGTTAATATTTTTATCACAAAAATATTGTTTCACAAATAATGCCAAACATTCTTGATTTATACTTAACTCCACACTTTAACAAATTTAATTGATTTAAATGATTATTACAGTACCATTGGATATGAAATAGATGCATGTACCGTTTCATTTTAAGTTCATATTATTTATTATTTTTTGCATTATCTAATTTGATGATTATTCTCTCTTTGCTAAACCCGTTCTATATCTTATAGTAAGATTTGAATCTTTCTCCTTTTTATGCTACAAAGTAATATTAGGATCTAAATCTACATTTTAGAATTTCTTATTGAAAAAGCATGAAATGTAGCACTATATAGGAACAGGTAGAATCACTGTAAATTAATTAGTGTTGCATTTGATTTGCACGCTTATTCGTATTTTATAGTGTTTTTTTTCTCTTGGAATATGGAATATTGATTGATTAGAATGGTTCAATATACTTCTGCTTTATTTGATTGGGGTGAACAGAATTTAAATAGAGGTTTAAGAATAAAACCTAGCTTAGCATTGCTCTATAATTTTGAAACCATTTTTTTTTATCATTATATAATTTTGAAACCTAACAAAACTATCAAATCCACATCAGAAAAAAGGTGTTGGGCCCTAGGCCTCCCAGAGGGCATTTAACAGTTACATATGATGATCCATAAATTTGTGGCCCAATATTATCTAAATGACATGTTGGGTTGCAATTATTTATTCCCAAAATTTGTTTCTTTTTGCTTCCAAAAATTTAATTTCTGAAAATAATTTATACATTTTGGAATCTAATTTCCAGATTATATGAAAAAAGTGTGATTAGGAAAAAAAAAATGCAGGACAAATGTAAAATCCTTTCATTTCTTGACATCTGAGGCCCCTAAGGCCTGCAATATTGTGGTATTCAAATACTAACTTATTGCACCAAATTAAAAGTATACACAAAGACCCAAATTTCTTAAATTTTTACAGAAGGTAAAGCAATAAATCTATAATGCAAATCTAACATGCTACATCTTAATCTCTCAATATTATTGTTCAATCCCTTAGTTCACTACTTGTACTACATTAATTAATGGTACAATAATACTCATTCACTTAAACTGACTGAGTTTTATGTTTGGGTACTTCATCAGAGTCAGAACTAGTTTGCCAAAACTTGAAGTTCAAAGATCTTCTTTGCAGCATGTTCTCTACTTCCTCAATTGGAAGTCCTTTGGTTTCTGGTACAAAAATAATGACAAAGATAATGGCTGCAACAGTGATGAATATGAATATCATGAATGTGGATGAGGTTCCGATAGCTTGTGTCAAGGATAAAAAGGATTGTGCCACAATGAGATTTGAAACCCAATTTGAGGTAGATGCCATTCCTCCACAAATTCCTCTATACCTTAGAGGATATATCTCAGAGTTGACAACCCATGGAACTGTTCCCATCCCTGGTGAGAAGAATATGATATAGAGAGCCAGGCCAATTAGTGCAAGCCATCCATATTTGCTTGGACAGCCCCTAGTGTACCATAGCCTATGCTCTTGATGGCACTGATCTTCTGTTGTATCATTGGAGATCAAGCATGCCCCAGGTAAGAGCTGCAAAATAATTAGTACTGGAGTTAGGATTTAGAACTCAAATGAAAAATAAAAGATTAAAATCATCTCCCTTAATTGATGCAATAATGATTAATATTTTACTAACATAATGCTAAATAGAACTAGTACTAAGGTATATAAGATATAGGAATCAATAGGATATGATGCTCTCCAGTTGTCAAGTAACACAATATGGTGCTATCGAAGAAAGAAAACACAAGTTTTATCAAACAAGGACACTACTATAGTTTGAAAGTTGTATAAATTATGTGTTTTTCTTACTTCAATAGGACCATCTCCATACAAAAGAGGATCCATGAATACGAAAACCATTTGATGCACTTTTTTTTAGGAGGAGGTGAGGACAAATTTACCTTATTAGCTCTAGAAGCACAAAAGCCACACTCTGGAGAAGCCTTGAGGCATTTCATGCAATCCCATTCACCAGGGTTCAAAGCTGTGCTGTAATCAGGGCAAGTGTTATTGAAGTGAGAGGTTTCAATTGTGCTAATCATTGGTGAGTGAGTTGTAGTCTCATGAAACACAACAGTTAAAACAACAAGAGAAACTACAACACCAGACAAACTAAACAACAAAAGCTTCTTCCTCCCAGTCTTGTCAATGAAATATATACTCAAAATAGAGCCAATTGCATTTAGCCCTGCTGTGACTAGTGACAGAAGGAGTGCTACCCTATTGGATGCAAATCCAGCTAATTGAACAATGGTGGGGCTGTAGTACATGACTGTATTGATACCCACAAATTGTTGGAAGATTTGAAGGCCCATTCCTGCATATAAACCTCTTCTCACTGTTTTAGTTTTTAACAACTTAACTATGCTAACTTTATCTGAAGCTGAAGCTTCCTTTACTTCCATTTCAACTGATTCCTTTAGTGCATTAATTTCATCTTCAACAACCTGGGGAGGGTAAATCTTCCTTAAGATTTCTTTAGCTTCATCTTGTCTGCCCTGTTAAAAGCCAAAAATAAAGACAGGTCAAGAGACAAATTTTGACAAGAAAAATTAGATTACTTGCATTGTCTCAAAAAAAAAAAAAAAAGAGATGATGAATTAACCTTTCGGAACAACCAGCGAGGTGATTCTGGGAGCAAGAGCATTAGTATGATTTGTGTTAAAGCTGGTACTGCTGCTACTCCTAACATCCACCTCCATGTTCCTGGTGCCTAAACAAATTATAAAAACAATAAATGTAATTAAAAGTTGTAAGAAGCTTAATCAAACTATTTTTATACATGGATATTTTAAGGATAAAACTTATATCAAGCTTTTTATATCTCTACAATCAAGTTCTTTAATTAAATAATAATATGTGAACCAGCATGCACCATATCGCACCAAATTCAACATTTCTTTGAAATTTATTATACCACACTAAATATAACGCACACAGTTGAATTTTTATAAGATGCATGATTATTTACTCATATGAACCAAAAGATAATTTATCATACTAAATGCAGCATAATTTTGCTACATTGGAGCCAAATTCCACATCATTTCGTAAGTGACAATAAATCTTAACTAATAATAAAGAGGGCACTTAAAATAATATACTAGTAAAGTGTATTGTTAACATTTTTTCATGTCATTAAGTTGAACAAATGAAGCATATTTTACTTACACTAGTGAAGGCCAAGTTGATAACATAGGAGAGGAATTGTCCTCCAGTGATAAGAAATCCATTGAGACTAACAAGAGCCCCTCGAACTCTGGTTGGAGATGCTTCGGAGATGTATAAAGGAGATGCCATCGAAGCCATTCCAACACCAAGTCCAACAAAAACTCGACCAACAATTAGAATAGCTGGGCTGAGTGCAGCAGCCATCACAACAGACCCAATAAAAAAGAGGGTGTCTGCAAGAATGATTGCTTTTTTCCTTCCAAATCGATCATTGATCCATCCACCAACTGAAGCTCCTATTATTGCTCCAGCAAGTGCCATACTCACTATGGCTTCCTGTTATATGAACATCAAGTTTTAATGATTGTTATGGACAATGGTGCAATAACATAACTAATTCATATTCGACTATGCATCTATCACTTAATAGTTTCAACTGATAGTGTGTCCTTGAAAATAAAAAATGGATATATAAATGATCATTCAATAATTTTTTTAATGATTACTTATGTCATAAAACTTTATTTTAATAAGTTAAAACAAGAAGTTTGAAATAATCTGAAGAAATTTATGAGAATTATAAGTCGTTTTCACAAGTTTTCCATAAACTTTTCTAAACAAGCCCAAAAATCATGATCTTTCATTAACAGCTTTCAGAACATGACTTAAAAAAAAATTGACACAGCTTCTATAACATTATTTTACTTACCAAATTTTCATAACACAAGAAAAAAATGAATTTAAATACTCTCATTTTATTACGTAATATGATATGAACGTATTAGAAAGAGACAATATTTTTATCAAATTTAATTAATGATTCTTACAATCAATAATAGTGGGTCCTTATTTAATAAAAAGTGTTTTTTTAATCTCTAAGATGACTATACTGTGTTATCTAATAACATGAGATTATTTAAATAATATATATGAGAGAGAGAAAGAGATTATTTTTGGATTATTGGACAAGAAAAATCTAATATGAGAGAGAGAAAGAGATCATTGGATTATTTAAATAATACAATTTAAGCCTAGAAATGTCACAACTTTAGCAAAAATTGATAATATGATTTAAGGGAAAAAATATTGAAGGCTAACCTAAATTATGTCAAATGGTTGAATTATACCCCACATATTTGGCTAGCAGCATATTTAGGTTTCTTGCATAAATATTTTCCTTATACAGAATGATGCAGATTTAGAAATAGGACTTAAAAAGATATGCATAGTCATCTTTCGTGGTCTTCTAAATTTAGAACTATCGTGACCCCACACTTGTGGCCAGAGTTCAAAGTTGTAAATAGTTCGAGACCACACCCTTCTTTGATAGAGTCAGAATCCAAAGTTTTCCCAACTCATACCAGTGGTAAAAAGGACGATGATAAATCGTTTTTCCTTATACTATTGCACTCACATAAAAATTCTTTAATTTTTTGTTATGTAATAAAAAAAATTAATCTTTTTCATAATATATATAAATCTTCATGCTATATCCGATATTTTAATTTTGTTAATTCCAGGTTATAACCAGTATTTACAAGTTCAATTTTAGTTTTTTGACTCTTAATTTTAAAATTTTTTCTTCACATCCTTATGAATATTGAGATTATGTATCTTTTTTTCTTTAATGTCTACACCCTTTATAAACCTTTGAGTTAATTACAAAATAAAGATTTTAAAGTATTCCATTTGCATGCCAGTCTTACACATTATTATATCATGTTACTTTACACATTTTAAAAAAAAAATTATTCACACCTTTCATTTTTTTCATTCATATTTTAAAGGTAAGTAACTGTTAACGTATCTATAGTTTCAATACCTATTTTAATTTAACTATAATTATATGTGTGACAAAGTGAAAGTTCGATATAACAATATTTTATAATTAAATTCAGGTTATGTTTTCCAAAGAAACTAAAATCGAGAAAACTAAAGAACCGTAATGAATTTAGCAAGGGGCATTAATGTCCATTAAGAAAGGACGAATTTGGGAAAAGAACAAGAAAAAATAATGAAAAACTGATAAAAAAAAATTGGTTGACACTTGATGAACGTTACCTGCAGCCATGTCTTTCTATCCACAGCTTTGAAATCATCTCTGATATACAATAGAGCCCCAGATATGACTCCTGCACATACCCATCATTCATCAACATTATCACTGCCACTTTGCTAGTTTACTTATACATATGAGAATTTGTGAACATTGAGAGAATATGTGTTACAAGTCATGAATAATAAAGCATTTTCAGTACTATTTTCTAAGAAGTCTTTTTCTGTTGATAACAAATATAACAAAGGTTGATATTAACAATTTTTTATAGATAAAATTTTATAATAACAAGAAGTTTTATGTCATAAATTATACGATAGCTTCAAAATAAAATTCTAATTCTAATTAAGAAAATAGAACTAAAGTTTTGTGCATGAGAACTTAATTTACCAGTGTCATAGCCAAAGAGAAAGCCTCCAATTCCAGCAGAGAAAGCAAGGCGAAGAACATAAGGATTCTTATATGATAGGGATAAGCATTCCCTAAAGGCAGAAACATCAGCTTCTGGTACTCCTCCTTCCATGTTGAACAACACAATTAAGCTGAGGCTTGTTTTCTTTGTTACCAAACACACAAGCCCATTCAATCAAAGAGTTTCCTAGAAAATGCTGAGAAGTGAGTGTGTGAGTCAAGGGATATGATTATGATAAGATGGGTGAGATAAGTAGCATATTTATAGAGAAAATTTATGTCATGATGAATTTGGATACATATGGGGGAATCACATAGACAATTTGGAATTTTCTATGATGATAAAAGTTAGTATCTAATCCTTTCGTAACACTAAGTAGAAAGAGAGAAAATGAAAATTGAATGAGAAAAATAATTTAAGTGGGAATTAAGAGGGACAGATACTAGAGTTGTCTTTAACCTTCTTATCTAACCGACCACCAAGAAACAGTAAGAGACAGAGACTGTGTATGGCCCAAACTTGGTAGGTTTTCGAGGCCACACATTTTCCCTTCGTTAAAATACAAAAAATAAAATAAATAAATAGAATATTTGTTACTATGCATTTTGTCCTATATGTTTTTTCAATTACATCACTCTCAATGGTTACAGTAGAGTGATAGAGCTTGCGGTTCAGTTTAAATTAGTTGTTAGGTAAAAAGAACTTATTTAATTTAATTATAGAAATAAATTGTAGTTTGATTTGAATTAATTTAAATATAATATTTTATTTGATTTACTACAGTTTGAATTAAATTAATTGTTTGATTTTTATTTTGTTTTCTAAGGATAATAAATGTTAAAAAATATTAAATATCTAACAAATATAATAAAAAATTATCTAAAGAATAAGTTATGTTGTTTAAATTATAAAAAAAATTAATTAATTTTAAATTTTTAAATTAAAAAATTTAAATTTAAATATATGTTGTTACATAAAATTATAATTCATGCAACAAACTACTGGTTATCTTATTATAGACTTATATATTACTTCTTATTTCATAAGTTAAATTACTACTTGGTCCCTCAATTTTTAATTTTGTTTCAGCTTGATTTTTAACTTTTTTTTTCTCATTTCAGTTCTTTAATTTATAAAAATGTTTCTAAAAATTAAATGACTAAAATAAAATAGAATAAAAAAACTGAAACAAATCTGAAAATTAAAAAAAATTCAATATACTAATTTAGGCTATCAAACGTTAACAATGTCTTAATATATACAAATGTTGGCAATGGTTTCAACAATGCTTGTAAGATTATTTCCTGATCTTTACCTTGTGTGAAATTATACATTGGACTAGATATGGAATTGAATAAAATTGATTCCTTAACTAAGTACACATATTTTATGGAACTGAAGGCAGTGTTACTTTCTGACAAATTCATAATCCAATAATTTGAGGAAGCATATCCTAGATCGTGTCTTGGCTACTATGTAACAAGGCCAATGTCCCATAATATTTTGACAGGGTACCTTGTTGAAGATAAGCATATCCGACAACATTTTAGGCCAAATGCAACCATCACGACCTACAAATTTCACGCATGCATTAAGCAAAATTGTTACATATCCCATCACAACTTGCTTTCAATTATATTTTGTCAGCATCAACACTAATTTTCAAAAAGCAGAAGGTTGCAGGAATCGTCTTGTTCACAAATATTTCTAGTGTTTTCGTATCATTAAATAACGTTTCTTCATGCTCAGACACCACATGAAATGGACCAAACATAATCTTATCTGAAGAAATAATGGATAATCAATAATAACAGCATGTCATCCTAAATACCTTTGTACAAATTGTAGTCTGCATGTTGAAGAAAATCTACTGAGGAAAATATGAAAATTCGATCCCTTATTATCACAAGAAAAAACATAAATACCTCTTTGACTTTGATATTTGTGAGTTACTTTAATTCAAAAATTAACATAATTTGATCTCAAATATTGCAAAATAAAAACAAAAACTTAAAATCTAATTTGTAACAATTGTTAATCAATTCAATGTTTAACACGTATTAATGTTTAAGACCAAACTGATTGACACAAACTGATGTGAGAGACTAATTAAATTGACCATTAACATTTACTAAAATAATAGACTAAATTTATAATTTCTTATAATGTTAAATTTCAGATATCAAAATAATATGTTGATTTAAATCTCTTTACAGATAGACAGCGATTGGTGGTGAAAAAAACAAAGCAAAAGTAGAGACAATAGATATTTCGCATGGAAAAAGTGGCTTAAGAGTCTATATCCTTTTGATGTTTTGCCTGGTGAATCACATGCAATGTCCCTGCCAAATTACCTTTCATAAAATAGTGGGACCGCTGCTATATATGTATACTATTGTGATATGATTATTTTTTAAAAGTATTATTACAAAGTATATGAATATTAATTAGCTCGCTTAAACAATTTATAATTTTTTCAATATAAATTTATTTATAGGTTCACTAAATAGTACCCCCCAAAAAAAAAAAACGATATACCAAATATGTTCTACTCTTCTACCATTAGCTTTTGCTAGAAATAACGTTCTATAGTGTGAATCTATATAGAGAAAATTTTCACTAATTTTCATCCTAGACCTTTGCAAGACGTTTTATGATACACGAAACGTCTAATCCTCAAAATTACAGAAAAAAATATAATATTATATAAATTGGTGAAAATTGTGTTAGAATTTGCATTATAGGAAATTGTTACATGTATTATCTTAGATCACAATAATCTATAATAATGGGGGGGAAAATGCATATGATTTTATTCAAATAAATAATGTTACTTAACAATTATATAATCATTTTTTCCCTCCTAAAATAATTTATTTTTTCAACATTATTATAATTAATCAAAACAAATATTCCAGCCAAACAAATAATATAAACTAAAGGATGTATTACGCTTATTAGCTTTTAAGTAGGAAAGAAAATAGTGGTCCTACTTAAATCCTTATTTCAAAATTTTCCTTGGATCATCTTTAGATGCTGAAAAGAAAATTGAGAAGAAACGAAAGAGTTTTCTTCTACTTTTGTACGTGTTCTAAATTTTAGAATTTAATTTTATAAAAACAATTAAAGTGTGAGGCTTTAGAATCTGTATTCTTTAGAATCCCAAAGCTTCTTTTAGTGATTTTGTTTTTTAATTCTATTGAAGCTCTTACATTACTAATATAAACAGGCCCTTATAAATTTGTGACACCGTAGCTAGTTGACTTATACTAGTGTATCATTGATCTTAAGCTCTTCGAAAAGTCCAATTGAACGTGTTAGTTCTAATTAAGAATCTACGACTAAATTAATGTTTGCTTCAAAGGAATCAAACATGAAGGTTTTACCCGAAACTCAACCCAAGTATTTTGCGTCCTATGTTTTCCATGTGTTGTATATGCAGACTTTTGTGATATTCAAAGCATGAAATTTCAATGTTCATGTCAGCTTATCTCCACCATCAAACCCTTTGACCAAACCATACATGTTCTTTATACGTATTTCCTTTTATATATGCCCGCAAGTAAAATTGCCCATGAAGCAAAAATAAAGTACAATAGTCACTTAGCATATCACTGAAAGTTACGACAAGACAAGTTAATCACATGATTCTTACTTCCTTCAGGAATTTGAACAAAATTTGATTTACATGCGTGGTCAATTTTTTGTGCGCAAAAAGTAGGTGATTGTCCCATCTAATTAAGGTTAAAACATATTTAAGATTATATTATATGACATATTAACAAAGAATTAGCAATTAATTCAAATTTTTAAGTGAAGACCTTTCTAGTCTATATCGTTCTTTCTTACCAATTGAGACAGCTAGTTCGGTGCATCCGGTCATCATGTTTATCTTACTAGAATGACAATCGAAATAGAACTACCATTCATATATATGATTTGTACTAAAATATTGCGTCACAACATATATTATACTCATATTAAGTCAAAAATGGAAAATAAGAAATACCATAACAATGATAGCCTTTCAATGACAATTAGAATAATGGCTGGTACTGATAGGGTTGAATCAATACCTAAAACCGGGTAGCATTGACTTAAAGTTCTTCAGTTAGGACACCATAAGTGTTTTTCAAGGATTGTGTTACCAACATTTTTCTAAAACTTCCAATATTACCAAAAAAATAATTGAAAAGAAGAATAACATTTATTTTGGTAATTCAAAGCTACACGCAACAGAATTGTTGTTCCTTTTATTTATAAATATGAGATTGTATTTTCCAAAAGCTATATATATACTTTTATAGTAATTCATCCTTCAATATTATAATTTTACCTTTAAATTAGTCCTTAAGTTAAGAGACATCAACTTAAATTTTGAATGATGAGAATAATGACCTTAATTACTATAAAAAAGGAAAAGGTGTTTGCACAAAATAATTTGACGAACATTTATTCATAATTATAATTCAAGCATGAAAATATTTCAATTCAATGATAATAGTTAATGATATATATACTTGTGGATTACATAATGCTCCCGACAAGTTATATAAACAAAACATATAACGTGACGAAAGCATGAAGTTAATGGAAAAGTAGTCATTGCCGACTTTGGAAGAGAGATGGAAGAACAAAAGTCTAATGTGGGATCACAATGTAATAAATCAAATCAACAACGTCATACATATTGTATGTGCTGTTTAATAATAAATCCTAGATTGAATGCAATATATCCACTTAGGCTTTGACGATTCAATAATTAATCGGATAAAATTCAAAAGCATGTGCCAACGGGTCCTATAAAAAAGCATTAGATTTTTATATGATAAACTCAAGTTGTATTGTTTGACCGAACGTTAATTAGTTTCTTTGACTGATCAGTAGTTTTTTCTTTTTTTCAAAAGGAAGTTGGTGCCATAAATTGCTAAACAAATGCAGTGCACCTTTGTATGCTCATCTGTCTCCAAATACATATTTTGTATAATATTTTAAAGGGAAATAATTGTTGCAATTATATATTGGAAATTATAACAAAATCTTAAAATATTTTTCAATTTTTAAAGTCGAAAAAACGTCGAGAGTTTATTTTCGTATTAAAAAATTTATGCTTATATTTTTAATAAATATACATGTTTTAACATAATTGGTGGTTGATGCTAATCTAAACATATATCTTAATTATGTTTTATAATTTAAAATTAATCTAGCTATTTAATTTTAAAACAAATGACTTCATATATTTTATTGCCTATTTTTTGTTTTTGGGTTCTGCAGTTGATGAATGTCTGAGGGACTTGCAAAGATTATTTGGTTGCTTCACATGTATGTATGTCCTTTCAATTTCTAAATATTATGTGTCACAATATTTCGTTAATAGAGAGATTCATTGTCCCAAATATGTATATGGTTTCATGCAGCATGGTTC